GATCGTGTCAGGAAGGCGTGCATCATGGCATGCCAATTTAATAGAACAAAGTGTTCTTGCATTGAGGGAGTACTTGAGTGGAGGCCCAATGTCCATCTTCTACCTTAATACTAAACCTATAAATATATGTGCATAGATCTATTTCCCCATACCCATATATGAATATATTTACATATGTACATGCCTGTATTTAGACCTGTATAAATGCCCCTTGCCTCCTAGTTCTTTCCTCTATTTCCTTTGACTTTCCTCTTGTACCACTATCATGTTAAGCCTTCATGTGGGTTTCACTAATTCCTCTCAGTTACATTGCCCTTGATCAGGCCTCCAGGAAACTCTTTGAAGACTATTAAACTTACCTGAGGGTCATAGGAAACCATGCACAAATGCCCACGGGCGGTCTGCTGGACTCCAGTAAGCAACCCTGTAGAATCTCCACCTGCAAATGTGGGCAACTGCAAGAGCAGACAGTCACCAATGCCGACCGCGTGTCCTTTACAAGCAAGATGTGGGACCGAGAATAGACACAATACTTGGTGGTCTTTTTTCTTTTAGAACCAGCTTTTTTGTTTAGACCCACATATAGCAAAACATTGTTTTTAAAGCATAAAATAGATGTATTTATCATTAGTTGTATTGCAGTTGTCAAATAGAAGCATCAGTTAAGTTCCTAAAATGTAAAGACCATGTACTATTTGCTTTGGGGTCTCCCACAATTCATATCTTGATGGATCTCATCTAGTAAACAAGCAAAACATAAAACCAAAACTCATCACAACCGTATAGGAAAGGGAAGGACTGCCCCTGTGGGTTTGGGAGACTAACGCTTTCCAGAAACAGAGAGAGAGCCTCGTCTTTCTCCTTGGAGCAGCTGGTGATTTTGAACTGTTGACCTTGCGGTTATCAGCCCAGCATGTAACTCACTACACCACGAGACTACCTCATAGCTCTTCCGAGAGTAATTCCTCAATAAAAAATTTAGAATTTTAATGAAAAAAATCTCCATCAATGTCAATTGTACTCTACATGTTCTTTGTTACACTAGACAAAAATACTTTTTCATAATTGACATAAAAAAACAATTCATTCGTCCATGTATCTTTTTACTTTCTTATAGTTTGTCCAAGTGTAATTTCATTTTAAAAGTCTAACTGGAATGAAACTATTTTCCGCATACCAGGAGGAGTTCCGGCTGCATTTCAAGAACATCTCCCGTATCATGGACTGCGTCGGCTGTGACAAGTGCAGATTGTGGGGGAAGTTGCAGGTGTGTGCCGCATTGTTGTCTGCTTTGGAACCACTGCTAACCTGAACTTTTTTCCCTACAAAGTTAAACTATGCTTATTGTAGAAATCCTTATTACTCATTAAATTAAGAGTTTAGAAGTGAGGGAGCCCAAAGTGTGCTCTTTCCATTTTGTTGAAGGAAAACATCATTGTTATTAAGGTCTATGTGTTGTCTATGTATAGGTAATGATAGTTTTAATTACTAAAGTTAATGTTTTATAGTGGTTTCTTTGTATCGGTTCATCTGGGTGCAATCAGAGATTCATTTCTGAAGTTGCTGGTTGTGAATACAGTATGTCAGTATTTTACATACTTATGTATTTAGCAAAAGGCAAAATACAGCTATAGACAAAGTCTGAAATTCACGTCCTGGTGGTTGACATTCTTTCAGTTATCAGAAATGAAGGCAATTTAGTAGTCACAAAGTAGGAAAACTCCATGAGGCAGGCTCTTACAGGGATTGTTTGATATGTTATCTCTCGGTATTAAAAAAAATCCTAAAAATTCAATCATCAGAAAATTATTTTAATGGAAGTTACCCAAAGACCAAGGCCAGTGGCAGTTCAGTGGTAGAAGTCTTACTTTCCATGCAGGAGCTTTGCGTTCCATTCCCAGCCAGTGCCACTCTTCTTAAAACACTTTCTTTCCTCTTTTTTCCCCTCCCTCTCACTCTCAAGTACCCCTGATAAATTATAAATTATTACTACTTTCATATTTTACACCATCTGCTGTCTCCCTTCACCCACGTTTCTATTGTTCCTTCCCGGGTGTGTGTGTGTGTGTGTGTGTGTGTGTGTGTTATACCTCGATTACTATAGTCAGTTCCCTGTTTTTCCCCCTCATACTTTTTATTTTTAAAATGAGTTTGAGCTGTTTGAGAACCCTGGTTGTGTAATGGTTGCGAGTTAGGCAGCAATCTGTGAGGTCAGCAGTTTGAAACCAGCAGCAGCTCCAAGGGAGAAAACCAGGCCACTGTACAGCCCCTTACAGGAGGGTCTCGGGGAGGAAACGAGCCAGTCAGGGTGCGATGTAGTAACGATGAAACATACAACTTTCCTCTAGTCCCTAAATGCTTCTCCCCACACACACACACACCCTCCCCACTATCATGATCACGATTCTGTCTTGCAAGTCTGGCTGGACCAGAGGGTGTACACTGGTACAGATAGGAACTGGAAACACAGGGAATCCAGGGCGGATGATCCCTTCAGGACCAGTGGTGTGAGTGGAGGGAGAGTGGGTTGGAAAGGGGGAACCGATTACAAGGAACTATATGTGACCTCCTCCCTGGGGGATGGACAACGGAAAAGTGGGTAAAGGGAGACGTCGGACAGGGCAAGATATGACAAAATAATAATTTATAAATTATCAAGGGTTCATGAGGGAGGGGGGAGCGGGGAGGGAGGGGAAAAAATGAGGAGCTGATGCCAGGGGCTTAGGTGGAGAGCAAATGTTTTGAGAATGACAAGGGCAACGAATGTACAAATGTGTTCACAGTTGATGTATGTATGGATTGTGATGAGTTGTATGAGCACCTAATAAAACGATTAAAAATTTTAAAATTAAATTTTTTTTAATTAAAAAAAATTTACAATCTTGGGAACGCAAAGAGGCAGTTCTACTCTGTCCTGTTTGGTCGCTATGAGCCCGTGTTGACTCAATGGCAGTGAGTTAAGATTCTTAATTCAGCTTTTAAAAAGATTCCCTGGGTGAGTCAACGACTCCAGCCATGGTTTGAACACACCCAAAGATGCCCCAGAAGACAAGTCTGATGATCTGCTTCATAAAGGTCGTGGTCACTGGAAATCGTGTCCATTAGTTGGAATTAACATGACAGCAGCTGACAATAACAGCCAGCTCTTAAAACTTTGTCTACTTTTAAACTAGACTCAATATATAAACATGATATTTTAAATAGTTTAATACGTTAATGAAAAGTTTGGCTTATATTAATATGTTGACTGTCATCACAGTATTTAATATTCCTTTAAGCCGTAATTATAGGTACAGAAATTTAACTGTAAGTGTATTTTCTTTAGACTCAGGGTTTAGGAACTGCTTTGAAAATACTATTCTCTGAAAAAGAAATTCAAAAGCTACCAGAAAACAGCCCATCTAAAGGCTTCCAACTGACTCGACAGGAAATAGTTGCTCTTTTAAATGCCTTTGGAAGGTAAGAGACACTTTCTAAATGCTATCAAGAAATCAATGGATTCTGGGCTCAGGGATTTGAAAATAAGCAAAAGAAGAGCCATTACCCCTATGGAATTAATGTAATGTTGTAAAACAAAACTATATATTTGGGGAGCAAGAAATAAAGTACGAACTTTGAGAGGAATGTGAAAAATGAATTTATAAGACCAATTGTAAATTATTTAGCTTTCGTTATTATGAATTAATCATACACTATTATCATAATTCACCTAGAATCTTTTGATAATAAGGAATAACTCTTCCTTGCTGCTTATAAATCAAAACAAAAGAACCGAGCCACAATGTTCTGTGTTTCGGCTGATCTTTATTGAGAAATGACAGCGATCCTCATTTAAAATGTGTTCCTGGTACTTTTTTTTTAATTTTGCTTTCAAATTATAGCCTATGTGAAAATATCAATAATTTGTTGTCGGTGTGAGGGTAAGTTTAAAAACTACTGCTGCTAGGGTTCCAATCCATACACACCTGGGTCGTTCCAAATAAAAATGTTTAAATTAAAGTGACCAGATTTTAACATTGGTAAAGTGGGACACCATTGACCGGGAGGGAAGTTCTCGATTAAAAATTTGATCTATATCATTTTGCCGCCACTATAAGATATAAATAATATGAATACTGTCTGCTAAATTCAAGAAAATTTATGTATTTATGAAATAAATTACCTAAGTTATCTGAATAGCTGATTTGTTGACATCACTTGTTTAACTAGCACTAGCACGTAGTACGAGGTGTATTGTCTGAGAGACAGTTACAAAATGTTTTCGTCGTTGCCAATGCCCCAAAATGCCATTGTTCATTAAGTCCAAACAATGGTGGTCGAATTGTAACAACTGATCAACAATGCAAACTTTGGTAAGCCGCTCAGGATAATCAGTTCTCAACAATTATTTGTTATTATTAAATTTTAACATTATAAAATTAACACAAATAATATAAAACTCATATCCTGGCGAAATAATATAAAACTCATATCCTGGCGAAATAGCCACATGGCAGCCAAAATCTGTATATTTCCTTCCCAATCTCCCGCCATTCCTTAGCTTGTCGTGCATTCTTTCCAAAAATCGGGACTTTTTAAAAATGCCATGGGACGCGGGACAAATTGTTAAAAATCGGGACTGTCCCAGCAACAGCGGGACGTCTGGTCACCTTAGTTTAAACATGTCTCTGGTATTGGTAGATGGCTGCAGACAAGTTCTCTCAATAATACACTTAAATCTTAGTCTCTTTGGGCACCTTCATTGTAAGAGTCCAGTCTACAGAATGACTGCCAAGGTTTCCACTGGCCCAGGGAAGTTCAAAGCAGAGAGGTCAGCTTAGGGTAGAGCAACTCTTTTAATGGGACCCCCGAGTTGTAATACAGGTAGATTTTCTCCGCGGACACGGGCAGATCATCAAGGCTCATTATTATTAAGTGTGAAGAAAGTTGAAAATGGCTACCATGAGAAAAGGGCAAGACATGGGCACCAAGGAATTCCTTTCCATCACAGCCAAGCACCTGCTCCCTCTCGGAGGGCAGCAAGGGCCTCCTGGGAGAATGAGGTCGGGACACACCGCTCACCCACCCTACAGCAGTGATCTTGGCCCCTCTTGACTCTTTCTTGTTCTGAAAACGCAAATAACATGTCACACGAGCATGTTTTGAGTCCCTCAAGGAAGGCAAATAGCCATGTGACCACTGCGCATCAAAGAGCATAGGCTGCGTGGGGGAAAGGTCGGAGGGTTAGGAACACCTTCTGGACTGTCTAGACCCAGTGGGAGTGAAGTGGACAGTTTTGCTCCTCTGCCGTGGTGTGCATCCATCACATTAGCTCGCTGTACTGACATGCTCCTCTCCCCTCTCTTACAGGCTTTCCACGAGTATAATGGAACTACAGAACTTTAAACTCTTATTACAGCACAGTAGGTAATAAAGGCTTTCACGTGTCTCTTTAGAATGCTAAAGGGGCTGCAGGAAGCCTTTTAGCCTTGAGCCTTCAGCAGATTAATCTCCTAAGACTTCAAGAGTTTTGAACGCTTCAATGAGAAAAATTCAGATTTTCACTTGAATATTTATGATCCTGAATAGGTTATTATAGATTGGAGATATTTATCAATGAAGTATATACTTTTAAAACTTGTAAGTTATACCAATTCTGTGTTTACTTTTGTTTCTGCCTGTTGAATGTTCCATTTGTTTTGAATTTGTTTGTTCGCATTGTATGATTTCTTACTTCCAGTTGTCAAACCTTACATGGCTGTGTCTCCATTCTAATCACATCGTTAACCATCTACAGTGGAGACGGAAACCCAGGGAACAAATGTTGCTTGGGGCTGGTTATCAGTAAGAAAAGCATCAATAACGTTTTAATATATTTTAAAGAGCCCTTCCCAGCACTGTTGGTGCCACTCTGTATCGCAGGTGATGAGAGGTCTTTCATTGTATAGTTACAGATGCGCCTTACAGTTTTCCAACACTTCACCTTCCATTTCATTGATCGTTAAGATTTTTAGTTGCTGCTATTGTTGCTGTTTTGTGTTCATCTTAAAAAATCATCATAATAATAACAATGAATAAGTGCTCGTCCCTGTGCTGCCCAGCCAGAACTCACCCCGCAGTTTCTGTAGACTCTGTTCTTGGTTCTCAGCACAAATCATAAACCCACTTTCCTTTCAGACAAAAGACAAGCCAACCAATATTTAAGAATCTTCTCAATAGAACTTGAATGAGTTAACATGCATTCATCACACACACATTAGAATGTGATACACAGAAGTTGCTATTGAATTTCTTTTTCTATTTTAAACCAAACATTTTGAAGGATTTTATTTTGGACTACAATCTATGCAATCCTATAGCTCTTACTTTCCTCTGTAGGCTAGCTAAGCAAGTAGACTGGCCTCCTTTCCACCCATCTCCACCTTGTCCTTTCACTTCTGTTCATGATATGAAAATGGTACCTTGTGTGAAGATGACTTCTAAGTACTAGCTTGTCGCTCTCTAACCCCGGACTTAGATCGCCTCAAGCAACACGGGTCATTTTTCATCGTGTCAGTGGTTATAATGTGATTGAGTTGGAAGATTGTGTCTATGTGGGAGTATTGCGGGGACAAGAGAGTCTCTCGCATTAGACTCTACATTCTTTTTTGCAAAGTAAATAACAAGTGCTCTTATACCCTTGTCTTGCCAAAGTCTGAAATGCATTCATTGGCGATTTAATGGAGTAAATTATTTTAAATTGTAATTAGTTGGACTACTTCAGTTTTCTAATTTTCCAATTCTGTCCAATTTTCATAATTTTTTGTTAGTAGCAGTGTGTTTTGTTTGTGAATAAAATGGCCGACTCCCCAAGCCTCCCGTTTTTTCCTGTTCTTTCTTTAGGGATGCAAATGTGTGGTGGGGGAGGAGTCCCTAAGGGCTCTTTGTGTCCAGAAAGCAAATATCTAAATTAGCTTGCTGGTAAATTAAGAATTATTCCTAAGGTAGTGGCTAGTGTTTAAGAAATGTGAAAGTTTTGCACTTTGTCTTATTATCGTTACTGTGTGCTTAAAGACCATCTGGTAGTGTTACAGTACCTTTCCTTCAGTGAACGAAAAAGACTATGATTTAAACCCTGCGTGAGAAAATCCTTGGATTTCCATTGGTGGTAGTTTATCTTAACTGCGGTTTGTTGCAAGTGTAGGAAACAGTGTATACAGTAAAGTCAGTTTTAGGAAAGCAGAAAGTTGACATAAGGTAAAAAATTATTTTCAAAGTTTCAATACATTGTCTCATTCCTCGTCAATATTTTAAAACTGAAATTCATTTTCTCACAAATGTAAGGGGGTAAGGGAACACGAATTTTTGTGTTTGTATTTTTTAATGATTGTATAAACTGTAGGAATCTTTGTTTTGTGTGGCTGGTGATAGTTTATGGTCCTGGTGATAAACTGTGTGACAGTACTGATTGCACTGTGACGAGGCTTGACTGGTAACCTGCCTCGTGGCATGTTCGTCACTGTCTTGGCACCTAATTTAAACACCCAGCACCTAATAACATAACTGACCAAAATGATTGTACACCAGCTGACGAAGGATGAAGATGAAGACAAGGAAAGCAGTCCTTCTGTTCATGGCCTAGCATCCTGTTTTTCCTCCGTGGCATCCAGTCCCTATGAGTCAGAACCAACGGGGACCCCCACTGACAGCGCACAACAGACAAGAGAAAGGTTAGGAACGTGGGCAAATGTTGGATGTGTCTTGTTTCGCCTCTTAGATTATGAACAGGATGAGGCAAAAAGTAACAGAATTCACTTTTGAAATTTGCTAAGTGAAAATACCTTGTCATCATGAATTACTCAGTGTTTGTGACATCTTTCTGTATACAAAACATTGCGCCATAGCGTCCAGCGTTGCCAGGTGTTATTGTATGTAAGAAGGGACAACGGTTTGATCTTCATCAGCATTACCTTCAACTGGAAAGCGAGGAACAGCTTAAAATAACCTCAGTTCACAAAGGGCAACGCCTGCAGAAACCTTCGCTATTTACCAAAGTAAGCAGATGGGGTGCCTGGTAGCATGAAAATTATTTGTTAGAGACAAAAATACAAATTCCAATTCATGTGGACTCTAAGGTACTTTTATTCAGAACAGAATTCCAAATTATTTGCTCTAGAAAGTGTGAATTAAAATAAATGTTTCTGCAGTCTTTTCTTGCGGTCTTTTTTGCCTCCTCTTGAAAGTTCTCCTTTTACATGGATTTCATTACAAATTATGGAGAAGGGGAAAAAATAAACTTATAAGGCATCTGACATCCACTAGCCAGCATTTGCAGACCCTATACTAGACTTCCCCGTGCATTCTCCTAGGTAACCTTCTCAATAGCAGTGATTGCAAACCCGTTACCATCGAATCACTTCATCCAGAGTGGCCCTCAGCATGGAGTAGAACCGCCTGGGAGTTTTCTGAGACTAAACCTTGGCAGGAGTAGAAAGCCTCGTCTTTCTTGCAGATAGCACTAGTAATAGGGATAATTTCCTCGTTTTAAAAATATGAAAAAAAGCAACTCTAAGCTAGTCCACAGGCACAAATTTTATGTTGCAAAGTTAGAATTGACTCCCAACCTTCTGCTTAGAATGTGGCTGGTGTATTCGTGTGGTTTCGTAAAATGGCTTGTTAGATTCTGTCATTGTCAGTTCTGACTCAGGGACCCTGTGTATAACAGAATTAAAATTGGATTTTTCAACATCTCTTTATTTGTATTGATGTAGGAGGCTTTTAATATACTCATTTTAATTTCATTTTTGAATAGGTAATACATTCATATGGTTCAAAATCCAAAAGAGAAAAAGCGATACAACAAAACGTAATATGTATTCCTTCAAATAGAGGAAAGAACTAGGAGACAAAGGGTATTCATAGAGGTCTAAATACAGGCATGTACATATGTAAATATATTTATATAGGATGGTGGTGAAATAGATCTAGGTCCATAGGTTTAGTATTAATGCAGAAGATGGACATTGGACCTCTACTCAAATACTCCCTCAATGCAAGAACATTTTGTTCCTTTAAATTGGCATTCCGTGATGCACACCTTCCTGACACAATTGCTGAGGACAAATGTGTGCATAAGCAAATGTGAAGAAAGCTGATGGTGCCCGGCTATCAAAAGATATAGCATCTGGGGTCTTAAAGGCTTGCAGGTAAACAAGCGGCCATCTAGCTCAGAAGCATCAAAGCCCACATGGAAGAAGCACACTTGCCTGTGTGACCATAAGGTGTAGCAAGGACAAGGTATCAGACATCAAAGAACAAAAAATATCAGCGGGTGCCCACCTTCCCAATATAATCACTGAAGACAAATGTGTGTTTAAGCAAATATAGTGAAGAAAGCTGATGGTGCCCCGCTATCAAAAGATTCAGTGTCTGGGGTTTTAAAGGCTTGAAGATAAACAAGCAGCCATCTAGCTCAGAAGCAACAAAGCCCACATGGAAGAAACACACCAGCTTGTGTGACCACGAGGTGTCGAAGGGATCAGATATCAGGGATCAAAGGACAAAGAATATCATTGTAAAGGAGGGTGATTGCAGAGTGGAGACCCAACGCCCACCTGTAGGCAACTGGACACCCCCCTACTGAAGGGTTGCGGGAAGGAGATGAGCCAGTCAGGTTGCAGGGTAGCAATGATGAAACATACAACTTTCTTCTACTACTTAAATGCTTCCTCCCCCCACTATCATGATCCCCATTCTACCTTACCAATCGGGCCAGACCAGAGGATGCACATTGGTACAGATTAGAACTGGAAACAGGGAATCCAGGACAGATGACCCTTCAGGACCCGTGGTGAGAGTAGAGGGTGGAGTAGAAACGGGGAACCGATTACAAGGATCTACATACAACCTCCTCCCTGGGGGACGGACAACAGAAAAGTGGGTGGGGGGAGACATTGGACAATGTAAGATATGACAAAATAACAAATTATCAAGGGTTTATGAGGGGGAAAAACAAGGAGCTGATATTAAGGGTTCAAGTAGAAAGCAAATGTTTTTAGAATGATGGCAACAAATGTGCTTGACATAGTGTATGTATGGATTGTGATAAGAATTGTACGAGCCCCCGATAAAATGATTTTTTTTAAAAATAAGAGCTGTTAGAGCCCCCAATAAAATGATTTATTAATAACATACATATTCCTTCATATTTGCCCTCCCATCTCAATACCAACTCCCACCCACCCACTGCCATCGAATGACTGTTTGTAGTTCCTTTTGCTTCCACCAACACTTTTATACAAGCTAAGACAGATATAAAGTCTGGGTTTTTTTCTCCTTTTACCAAAGAACAGCATAGTGTACATCGTATCCTTCACGCGTTCCCTTAACCTTCCGTGGTGATCCGCCTCGATTATTAGTGTTTCCGTTTTGTTCGGGGCTGCTTAGTATTCCATCGTGTGGGCGTTGCCATCTCATTACCGGGTGGCCTTGCACAAGTCACTGCACGTGTCCCTGTAGGATGAATCCACAAAAATGGAATTGCATTTGCACTTGTAATGTGGAGAGACTGCCAGGTTGCCCTAGTCCGTACACCCACCTGGGTTTATCTTCGTGTCTGTCCGCATCACAGATCTCCTCACACTGAGGTTTCTGCCATTCTCATGGACGGACAGTCTGTCTCAGTAGTAGACTCTTCTCCCTCTACAGCATGGAGCACCATTTAATAGGCTTAAGGGCTATTTGCATTTATTCTCTTTGGTGTTCAGCTCTGTTGTCCATTTTTCTATTGCATTATTGATCTTGGCGATTTCTAGGTAGACTTGCCTTATTTGGTAGACTCCATGATGGATCTAACCCCATTTGTTTTTCACCCGATGGCTACCCAACTGTGCCAATATCGCTTACTGAACATCTCCTCTTTCCCTAGTAGTTGGAGAGGATGCATAGAACATAGCGAAGCTCCCATGTGTATTTACTCTGTAGCTGAGCAGTTTTCATGGATCACTTCCACGTGCAGCAGGACCAGAGCCACGTTGTTACTAACTTGGCTGTTGATCTTGTAGCATCGGGTGTCGTGTCAGCATGCTCATTCTGCGGCCCCTTGTATTTATTCATTTAATTTATACCGATTCCCCTGGCAGCTTTTTTGCAAGTACAATAACTTGTGCAAGGACAATATCCATATTGTTTTGAGATTTTAAAACTGCTATAACTGAAGGTTCTCCAGGATTTCACTTTTGTCCATTTAATTCTGCACTAGTCTCTAAATGCGTTACCTGCTCCATTTCTACGTTTTACTCCCTGCTGTGTAAGTAAGAGCCTGTTTGCCAGGGCCCTGACAGGTCAGGACAAAGAACCAAGATGCAGGGCTTCTGTTTTAAGTCTTGGCCCCCAGAAATGAGTTGGCACTGTTTCTGTAAAACCCTAATTTCCTTTTTCATTCCACGAGGACTCTTTCCTCGAAAAGTTGGCTATCTGTTCAAGATTAAACAAATGAGTATTAAACTTGTAAAATCACTAGGCAGTAGAAGTACAAGAAATGACCTAAATATAAAGAGAGAAAAAGCAGAAGGTCCCAGAACAGGATTTGACCCTGGCTCTAAGATCTGTAACCCTGACAATGAACGACGCCGACAAAAAAAAAACCTGCCATCACATGACTTAGAGAGAAGACCACCCAACTACATTATAGCTAGTGTACGGTGGAAAATGTGTTCCAGTAAAGGAGTGAAGCGAAGGGGAATGGTTAGAAACGTGTCTAGTGCAGACGGGACCCCCCCAATATAAAAGGAATCCTAGTGTCTTGACAGTATGACAGGCTTTCAGAGATTGATGCCATTAATCAATTAAAACTATCCACCTAACTCCTTCTGATCAGATGAGAGTCGGCATTCACCGACACAGCATTCTGGCTAAATGTTGATTTCCCAAGTGGTTTCCTTCACAGGCTGTTAACTGTAGATAAGTGAGTGTCCTGGTCTCTCTGGCCATGTGTATACCTCAGTCATAAAAACTGGTAACATTGTGTAAGTTGGGTTAACAAATGAATTCCAGAAAAGTTGGTCCCTAAGGTTTACGGTAGGCAGATGTACAGCCCAGACTGGGCCAGTGACTACAGCAGGGGACGACACAGTAAGAATAGTACGGTATACAAATGCACTGGTTCCGGCAAAGTAGTCTCCACTTGTCCTAAATAATCCTTTTTGCACATCAGTTAGGTCTCCAAGGGTCACCATAATCTGGAGCTGCAAAGGGACGAAAAATGGGAAGAGACAAGTCAGTCCAACCAACCATCAAACCCAAACCCATAGCTGTCAAGTCAATTCAACCGATAGGGACCCTGTAAAATGTCACCACCTATAGGATTATCAAAGCTGGAACGAAGCAGCCGGCCACCTTTTTCTCCTGCAGAGTGTCTGGGGTCAGGGGTGGAGGGTATAAATGCCAACCTTTCCAATAGCAGCCTAACATTTTAATCACTGTGCCACCTGGGCTCCTTATCAGCAACCGGATATCAAAATAGAGGGGTTTTAAGGATCATGTGTGCTAAAGAAAAGTAGATCATGTTATCTAACAGAAGATAGTATGCACCTGATCTTCAGGTCTGGCTACAGTTCGGAGGCAGAAAGCTGAGTCTGGTCTGGATGTAGTCTCCTATTTAGAATAGTAGGATGGCCAAGGTCGAAAAGGGCAGACCAGTGTGGGAGACATGAAGTGGTGTGGGTCAGGCGTTAACCAATTTCTGTGAAGACAGAAGACAAGACTCAAGGCACAGTTTGAGTAAAGTCTGAGATCCATATTTGGAGAAACCAGGTAGCCACCGTTAGGGGTGATTGTCTCTGGATTTGGATTCAAGGACCTTGTTCACCTGGCAGCCAATCCTGGAACACGAAGCAGAAGCAGGAGTGCAGTAGCAGTGAGTGCAGTGAACCAGACACAGCGACCTTGCTTGGAAGTTGCCCTTCAGGGTACTTTGGTCTTGTGGTGTCAGTGCACCTACCGATGCGCCCACTCAGAGCCGACAGTTGAGGGTCCGTATGGCCATCGCCGAGTTGATAGGCTGGGATGCCCAATGACAACTATCAATCCCGGTGTCTAGTCCATGATCCGCACGCCACAAACTCAGGGAATTCCACTCCCTTATCCTCGTTACCATCTGAAAAAACACACTTCCGTGCTCCAACAAACACTTGGAAATAGTCTTTGATGAAAGTAAGTCTACAGTAGCATAATCCTTTCCAACAGTGCCTCATCTGGACCATTTAGTAACAGTAGTAACATTTTTTAACTAATGGAATTCTCACATTGGATAAAAATGAGAATGTGTCTCTTTTATTAGATGTATCTCTAATCAGATTTCTATGAGTCTCTTATGTGAAAGGTTATTTTTTAAACCAAGTTTCTGTAGTTCAGAATTCTGCTAAACTTTTAAATACATCCTTTTAGTTTTAGTGTAACTTTTATTGTTACCCCGAAGCACCCACTATTCTAGTAATACCCATTATGTGGTATAAATGAGAACTGTTCTCTTACAACACGGCTTCAGCTCTAGGGCTGATCGATGCTTACATTTCCCCTCATCATAGGGGCTAAGTGTTCAAGTCTCACATGAATAAGTCTCACAGATTTTGTGTAAAAGGGACGTCCTGGATGCTCTAGTCAACGTGCGCGCTCGATCTAAGTAACTAACCCGCCAACCAGTTATGAACAAAGTGCCTGATGCCTTGGCATAATTGTGATTTATGTTTATTATATCAAAAGTATAATAGTTGTATAAAACTTACAATCCGTAGCAGAGCTGTTACTAACTGCAGAGATCATTCCCTGCTACCAAGTCAATGCCAACTCATAGGAATCCTACAAAACAGAGTAGAACTGTCCCCCACAAGGGTTTCTAAGGCTATAAATATTTACAGGATTAAAAAAAAAAAGCCTCATCTTTTTCCCATAAAGTGGTTGGTGGTTTCAAACTGCTGACCTTACAATTAGTAGCCATCTCATAACCCCCTAGGTCACCAAAGCCCCTACTACCGATAAGATGTATATGGTTCCAGTAGTTAGCCAGAAACACTGGTGCGGTCTTCTGGTGTTCCACTGGACTTAAATAATAGTACCAAATTCCCATTGATACTTCCCATATATTTCTAACTTTCAAATGGGACAGCTTTAAAAGCAAGGCAATTTACATAGTGTCGAACTAGTACTCACTGTTCTGCGCCGTCTCGTAGCATTTAATATTTTACATGGGGACTCGTTTGATCTTGTTTGTGGTTTTGTTTGCTTTTTTCCGTGTACTTAGCACATCAAAATTAGGAAGCTACAGGAAATTTTCATTTTCTTCTCACAGCTCGCGGGGGAGACATGCTCATTTACTGTGACAAAAAGAGAGTTAACAGATACAATATGGTGGTTTATATTCTACTATGAGTCAGTGTTGGCACATTCTTCTAAAGTGAGGAAAGGAACCCAAAAAGCAATTAAACATTTACAAGACCCTCTCCAACAACAAAAAACAAATACAGTTCAAAGAAACACTAGCCGCTTCGTCATATAAGTTGATTGTGGTATTCATCAAGTGAATGTTGTCTGTTTCACATTTTCCCACCAGGAATAAAAATCATAAATCATTGACACAGAGTGAGTATATCCATCATGACTTTAGTGATATTTTTATCATAAACCAAAACCACGCAAACGAGTTTCCATGATGTTTATTCTGGCTCCCTGTGACCCTCTAAGCCAGAGTAGGACTGTTGCTGTGGGCTCCTGAGGCTACCAATCATCACAGACAAGAGATGCTACATCTCTCTCCCAGGGTGGGTTCAAACCACAGACCGTGCTGTTCAGATGCAAGCGCTTCACTAGCAGGAGTCATTGAAAACAGCCCTCCTTCGCTGACCGAATGTTGACCACCGGGAGGCCTTTCTGCTGGCAGGCTTTTAAAGGATTTTTTAAAAAACTATCCTACGCATTATTAACAAAGATTGTGTGATAATGGGCTGTTCTTAAAGGCATTTAGAAGGACAACTACTATTTTAGGCACCCTAAGTCATCAGTTTAGATTTCACTTCAGTGTGGAAATTTCCCTGGCACAATCACTATTGCAAATGGTACAAGGCACCCCAACCCTTCCATCTATTGAAAGGTAAGGATGTTATACGCACTTATGCAAAATAAAGATCTTACATAACCAAGCCTACCTTGTGAACTCCCAACTCGCAGCAGCCCTACAGGGTCAAAGAGAACTGCCTCATCCGGGTTTCCAGAGCGGCAGCCTGTCACATCTTCCCTAGGGGGTGGCTAGTGGGATCGAACCATGGACCTTTCAAGATGTAACCAAGTGTCTCACTCACATGCTACCAGGTATTCAAAGGAAAACACTAATCACAGTCCATTTAAAATTGAGGTCCCAATTTGAAATGCTGTCCAAGGAATAGAAATGGGCCGTCCCTGTGAAATCAGTCCCCAGAGAGATGCTATTCATGATGACCAAAGTGTGCAGTCTGTCATTGGAAATGAGCTTCATCACGTGGGTCGAACTTCCTGAGGATGTTCTTCCTTTCCATTTGCCCCGCTCTGTGCCTGGGGTTGAGATTTCCTAGGGAAAAGGGAATCTGTTTCTGTATCCTGTAGAACCTCACATCAGGTCTGTAGAAAACGGGAGCCTTTAAGAGGAGCTGATACCAAGGGCTCAGCAGAAAGAAAATGCTTTGAAAAAGATGATGGCAACATACGCACAAATGTGATTGATACAATTGATGTATGGATTGTAAATGTAAGAGCCCTCAAAATGTTTTGGTTTTTTTTAAAATCAGGTAAGAAAAAAAAAGGGGAACATCAAACCTCCCCCACCTGAGCCAGGCAGAGGCTTGAAAATGGCACTCTGGGTAGGGGAAATAGCATTTCATAGCTTATATTTTCATTTAAATGGAAAAACAACTTACAAAGAAATTGTCTGGAATGTGCCTTTCAACGTGGCTAAGAGACATACGCTAGTCCCATATCAAACCGGCAGTATTTAAATAACTGCCTTTGGAATCAAAGAACACTATTTTCAATATGGCGCAAAATTAAAGGGGGGGAAAAGTTATTCAGATACATCTACACAATCTTTTGGCTGAAGGGCCAGGATATTTATTATGAATCTGCTTTGGAATTTTATTTTCTTGAATGTTATAGAGATTTAGCAAGTGAGGAAAGATGCCGTCCTCTTGTAATTCTGAATTCATGGGGGTTTGATTTGACTGGACTAAGAATCAGGCAAAACCCCTAAATGTAAGTCATCAGTCTACAAGAGACCTCGGTGCGAGTGCAGGATTGGATCCACTTAAATTAAGCAAATATTGTAACAAAGTGGGTCACACAATTTTGTTGGGTTTCCCAACGCATCTAAGAGTTATGTTTACACTACATTGCGTCTCTTCAAGGCGCCCTGGGGCCACTGTCAGGGACGCACTGGACTGCTAATTACAAGGTCAGTGGTTCAGACCCACCAACTGCTCCTCAGGAGAAAGAAGAGGTTGCTCACTAAAGATTACAAAGCCTCAGAATGGGCAGGTAGTCCACTAAGTGTGCAATAACATAATGGAAAGTTGTGAGAATTATCAAAATGTGACAGAGACACAGAGTGAGCACGCGCTGTCGGAACAGTGGTGCCGGGAGACTTGCTCAACACGAGGTTACCACAAACCTTCAGTTTGTAAAACAGACATGTAGCATCGGTGAAATGCACTGGCACGGTTTGCCCGTATACATTATCAATGTGCTATTAAATTATATGGGCTTCAAAAAGTTTAAGGAGAAGTGGAATGAAAAAATAATGAAATTTTCCCATGGGCTTGTTGGAGCTCCTTCGTACACATTACTGGGCTGCCAACAAAACTAACTTTGGGCAAGTTTGAAGACACTGCAAGTTTTAAGATGATTGGGGAACCAGTCGTTTCTGACCCTTAAAAACCACTAAGAGGCCGGTTACCCGGTGGTTTAGTTGCCAGGGAGTCCTTTTGACTCATGGCGGGTGGCCTCACATACGCAGAATAGGCCTGCTCCATCGGGCTTTTGAGGTTACCTTTCAGAAACGGGTCACCAGGCCCGTCTTCCCAAGTGCCTCTAAGTGAATTAGAATCAGCAACCTTTAGGCTCATAGTTGAACCTGGAACTGTTTACAGCACTCATGGCTCCCAGTCACAGTAGACCAAAACTCCATTAGATCTTAACATTCGATTCTAGCATTGCAAAGCTCTCTCTAGATATTACTTTTATTTTAGGAGTCTAGAACTATAGAACTCAGAATGTGAGTGGCGTGAAGAGGTAAGGATCGGAGGAACACGGCAGTCCAAAAGTCTTGTAAATTATTAGACCATATATTGTCCTGTATTAAAGTGAATTATACAGAAGTGTGCAAAAAATTGCAATAACATTCTCAAGAAAACCCCCTAGTGGACGTTAGCATTATTATTTAAGTTATATAAAATACATCTTTATAAAAGTACAGATTAAATTTTTTAAAATTATATCCACTGATAAGTCAGGTTCACTTTTAAGTACTAAAATAAGATCCCATCATTCTAAATGATTTCTTAGTCCTAGGGAGCCACTAGAAATCTGTAGCAAATAAAAATAAGTCCAATTCCTTGAGGGAAAGGGCCTTGAAGTTTCAGCTGTCCTTAAGCTTGTCTTCCTGAAGCTTTTCAGCTGAGGGATCCTCCACCGTATTGTGCACCGATTGCTAGCCGTCCCTGGGTTTTTCAGGATCCATAGAGGAGTCTTGTAAAGCCCCGACTTGTGCCGTGAAGCTGTTAGTTTGTTGCCCCCAATCATAATAATCTGGAGCAAAACTGAAAAAAGAAAGAGAAATATTTCAGTGGCTTAAAGCATTATACTGATTACATATGGCATGTCTACTGGAGGCCAATAGAAATGGTATTTGGTATAAATTAGATAATCCTCAAGTTCCTTAAATGTGGCTGAGTTAGTTAATTGTGCCAGCCTGGCCGATAATCACATGTGGTGCTGGTTGAAAGGCGGAGGGATAAATGGGTGGTGAAGCCTCGCCTTTCTAGTTCT